AAATAGCTAGATTAAGGCCTGATTTAGATTAGTGTCAGGTTCAGCATCAGTGTTAGTGCCATTGTTGGTGTCAGGGTAGTTAAGTTAGGATATTAAAAACAAAACAAAAATGGTATTGTCATGAATGAAATAAGTACATTTATTTTGGGGTTGGGGTTGGTAAAGACAAGAAATATACAGATACTTTTAAAAGAAAATTTATTTTCTATTTTGGCCCGGGTTTCTTTTGATAATAAAAACAATTAAGGAGCTATCTATTAGCATTTACCATCAAATGAAGGCCCAATTTGCCCTAGTATAATTCACCTGGATACTCTAAGTAGTTGCAAAGATAAATACAATTATAGATTAGTTGTATCTTTTCCTTCTGCATAAATTTGTGAGTAATAAACTTTGGAAATTTAGGCTGCCAAAACTGCCCAATTTTCAAAACTAATTTATCCAGTAAGGCCTAGCTTTGAGGGATGTGGCCAAGGCCATCTCATCTACTATGCATTGAGGTTGTATTCTCAAATTCACAACTATGCATTATAAGAAACATGAACTGAGAGGGAAGGACACTTAAGAACACTTAAATTATATGTGTGACATGCCATGAATACACCTGATACATGAGTGACTTATGGAAATACTGCTGCCTTCATTTCATCCATTACAGTTTTAATAGTTAAACAGCTTTTCAGTGGTATCATTTGTTTTACTTTACATGTGGTCAGATATTGTGGTTGATTTACTAAAAGAATATAGTCTACTCACTTAACAAAGTAACATTTCACTAAGCTTTGTGAATAATGTGAAGCTGTACTGAGTTCAATTATCCAATCATGTGAGAGAAAAAATCCTTTTTTTTTACCTCGCACATTATTGGTTATTCACAGCAAGCACAGCTTCACTAAGCTAAGTGAAAACTTACTAACTTACTGCTAAGTGAACAGCCACTACTCTTTTAGGAAATCCATTCCAATGTTTTTTATTTTATGAATTTACGTGTTGTCTTGATCAAAGTCATATGGCAGTTAAATATTCATAATATAAATTTAAAAAAACATAAAAAAACTTAAACTAACAATTTATACTGCACACTGCATAGACATGGGATTTATAATAACTGTCAGATTGGGAGCTATTTTTATATTTCCACATGGCAATATTGTTTTATCATATTTAAAATAAATTATAATTAGTTTTAAATCTAAAGATTAAAAATTACATAATTAAAAATAAATACTCACTTTAACCTTAATAAAGAGTATCTCCCTGTAGTTTTTATGCATGTGCTTGGAGAATAAAATCACTTCAGTTTTAGCAATGCTTGGATTGTCACTTATTTTGATTGCAAAATAGAAAACAGTATTACTCTGACCCACTTTGGGTTCTTAAAGTTCCTTCTAAAGCTGTTCCTGTCTTGCTGAGTTAGAAAACAATTGATTGGATTTGTATATACATTGGACACACATGGCTAAGTAACTAAGCCACTTGTCTTTGCATACCTACATAAGAATTGTTTTTCAACACTATTTCCATATTGTTTATACTAACCATGTTGTACTGCATTAATCAACTCTACATAGTATTTGAGGTTGAATAAAGACATTAGTCCATCAAGTCCAACCTATTAGGATCTCATTCTAGGAGTACCTGTACCCCTGAATATTACCTGTACCCCTGTATATTACGGTCCCTTAAGAAATCGTCCAAAAGTTTCTTGAACAATTCCACATTATTTGCTGAAATCACCGCCTGTGGCAGTGAGTTCCAGACCCTAACTGATCTTACTGTGA